GCGTTAATGGATGCTGGAATCAAATTAGGCCGTGGACTGGCCGTCATCGTGGAAGCTTTGTTGAAAGTCTCTATGTTAAAACCTGCTCAAGAAGAAACTGTACCGGAGTATGTTCGACCTAGAGTAAGTTCACTTTCCTGGCAAACTAATCTTTCTTTGATTATTTTAATGCTACTTTTCATTACAGTTACTAACCATGACATTAGATACAATACCGGATTGTGCGGCCGACGATAGTAGCACAGGTGAATATGTGACAGCCGATGATGGTTACGAAGCAGACGTAGAAGTACCAGCTCAAAGTCTTCATAGTAATACCGTAAAAAGAAATAATTCCCTGGGACCAGTAATTGAGCCCAGAGGCCATGCAAATGCACATCCGGCGTTGTGCTTGCTAGCAGTTGATTTGTTAATACATTTCAGTGAACAGTAAGTGTTTGATTGTACAAAGTATGGTGATTGTGTAATAAAAATATTGTAAATTATATCTCTCTTACAGAGGTTTGGATGCTGAAAAAGGATGTATTATAACCTCTGGTTTAAGAAAAGTCGCATTTACCTGTAGAGAAAGTGCCTCGAGTTGTGCCGCACTCGCAGGTTCAGGTGTTATTACAAAATTGTTAAATGGATTCAGGAATATATTTATTAACAATGATACCCAATATCAAGGTATTTTGATTATAAATTACATGTTCAATGTACATAATATTTTATTCGAATTTTTTGTAATATATAATATAACTTTTGCAATAAAATATTTCAGATCTACAACACGCTGTACTAGAAGTGTTCACTTTGTTAGCGACGCAATCCATTTCGCCATCAGAACTAGTTATTTATTTGTCCTTATTCAAAGTTGATGAACCACCACTTTTATCGTTATTGGTACCACTTTTTCACTTAGTACTAGCTGAACGTCCGCAACCTAACTTTATCATATCCTTCCCTGTACCCTCCAATGCGAAAATATTGAAAACTCAATCGGTAGAGTACAAAAACTTGGAAAAGGTTGAGAATCTTGTAAATAATTTTCGCAAACGGCATTTCACATCGGGAATATGCAGCCCATGGTCTATGCATGCAACGTGTCTACCAATTGGTCCAGAAATATCTTGGGCAGTTTGGTTGCATGGTTGCTCCGTTTCAATGTGGTTGAGGGTTGAAAGAGGATTGCCTGTTAGCGGCAAAGGGACAGTGATTAGTACATCACCATTACTTGATTCAGACAATAAGAGTTTATCGGATTGGGGTGTATTATCTGACAATTGGAGTCGCGAAGGTTAGTGAAGTAATTGAATATAAATTAACGAGTAAGGATATAAATTTATTTTCATATTTCATTTTAAATCTATCGTACAAAATCATCAGCGTATTTCAATTTTAATGAATTATTACAAGTTACAAGTTCAGTGTGTAACTAAGTCACATATAGCAATAAGTTTGTTATTTTTTATGCAATGCATGCTCTACAAATTATCGTGGAAAGACCGATCGATGTCTGATCTTTTCTTGGGTACATCAGTCGTAGCAGGTTCGTCATCTCCACCTACACCAACATCCATTATACATTTGATGTCTATCGGATTCGAGTCCCTGGTGCTTGAAACATGGTTGGATCTTAGATCAGGTAATAAATGCTTCACATATAAACTATTGATCTTTTTTTAATATAATTATTATATGTTGCTTTTTCTTTTGGGATTTCAGATAAATTAATTTTACGATTAACTCGACCAGATAATGAAACCAATCGAACCATTTCGGAAACATCTGTGACTGATATGCTCCCTTACGGACGATGGCATCATTTAGCATTGAATATCAAAGATACGATTTTAAATAAATGCAGCGCGGTAGTCGAAGTTGTAATTTGGGTAGATGGTTGGAAGGAAATCAATGCACAATTACCATTTGATGGACTGCTAGTGAGAAAACCTGGTACTACGTGTGTGCTATTAGGGCAAATTGGATCCAGTACTATCGGTGCTTGGTATCTTGGAAACTTAATGGTATTTAGGTGTGTACTTTTATCACACAATGTTAAAATATTAATCATATAAATATTTATCAATTATTTATTATGTCATGCGTGTTTGTTATCAAAAATTAATTTACAGATGTCCAGTATTTACAAAGGAGAGAGCATTGTACTTGGCAAGTCTAGGTCCTAATTACACTAATCTTGCCGAATGCATTTTAAACGCAGAGAAACCAAATTTTGCGCCATTAATTGCTTCTGGCGCTTTAGATGGTGTTCGAGAAATACGATTCGGTAAGTGTTATGATGTTTGCACTTGATAGTATTGTTTTAGAATTCTCATGTTATATTTATATTTAATATAGAAGGAGCAAAATTTGATACAAGTCGAAGAAAATCGTACGGTGGAACCTACCTAAGACACGCTGTCGAAACTAAAGTATCTGAGAGTAAAATTGATTGGGATGCAGTTATGGATGCTACAAATTCGCATTTGGGTGAACTACAAGATAATTTGCTTCTTAGTTACGAGGCTCAAAATCCAAATATTGTCCATTTATATCCTCAAGCTATCGCAAATCCTGCTGGTAGGTTTATTAGTTCATAAATTTAGATTCATTGATATTTGATAATTGTCAATTTTTTTTTTATACAAAAATCACGTACTCATTTTTAGCTGTGGTAAGAAATCTATTTCCGGGCCAACCAGGTTTTAGAGTTGTTTCTGCACCAGAGCACAGAGTATCACAACAACCACCTTTGTCTGTGGCTCCGATACTTTCTGTTCGGTTAGAATGCCAACAGTACAGAGGGCTTGTATCTGCTGCCATTTTAGTGGGTGGTGTACCCATATTTTTATATTTATTTGCAAGAGTAAGCGCAATTATAGAGAAATATTTATCATTGTAAATTATAATTGTTTATGACCATTATTAAATGAATATATTACGTACAGGTAGTCGAATTAAACTCTAACGAGGAAGAACAAGCATTAGCTCTTTCAATAGTTCTTCATTTAGTACGGAATGATTCCGAACTTTTAAATCAGTATCGATCAGAAGGTGGAACATCCTTAGTCTTACGTATTTTAGAATCGTCACGGTGTCACGCAGGTAGACACATTCTGAAAGCAATGTTAGATGCAGCATGTGATAGTCCGATCCCAATAAAAGATATCGGTAGCGGCAATCATTTGGTTTCACAAAATTGCGAAGCTGTCATCACGGATCCTGAATTAATCAAAGGTGCTCTGACTGCGTGGAGAACCTGGGCGAAACATGATTCATTAAACTTGCTGTTACAAGCGCTGTTATTACTATTAAGAGATCAACATTCACAACGAGAGTTTAACGCATCTCAATTAAACAGAGTCGGAATCGTTGATACCGTTTTAACATTATGCAAGGTAACTACATATTCTTTGCAAACAATGTATCCTGTAATGAACATTAAAGAACTCATTATTTTTTACTGTAGGAACATTTTATGTATGAAGAACTGGGTGCTGTACTCGATACATCGACAGGAACTGCAGTGGTTGAATTGATTAGAGCACTTATGGGGGCACCTCCAGAATTTGCTCATTTAGTAGCTATTACAGATTATTTAGTTTTAGTTCATCAAGCATCTGAAACATACATCACACATTCAAGACACAATATATACTTTTTATTACCTCCGATTGAGGAGAAAAAGGTTGTAAAAGTTACCTCTACAGTAACTTCTAGCTCTTCAGATGAATCTATAGGAACACTTGAAAACAGTAAGTTGAGCAAAGGTGTGACTAATACACAGGTTAGTATTTTTTATGAAACAGATTGTAACAGAGATAATAAAAATTAATCTGTAATTAATATTATTTTTACAGATTCAGAAAAATAGAATGACTAAAAGGAAAGAACGCCGGAATGGACCTCCTCAAGATACAAGTGCCGGAGAGGACTCAGGAATTGCGGCTAGTGATGGGTCTAATCCTCTCGGTAACGTAAGTATGAAATTTAATTTATTGTTTATCGATTATAACTTATTGCAAATCGAAATATTTTAATTTAGGAAAAACAGGCTACTTGGACGGATGAAAGAAGAGCTTGCCAAGGTTTAGTTTGTGAAGGACTTTTGCTACTGTTACGAGACGCAGTTAGAGTTTTACCTGATAGCCAAGTTGGATCGGTTCTGAAACATGTTTTAAGAGCTGAACTTTTACTTGTGCTGGCAAATAATCCTGACACTAGAGTTCGTACTGCGTTAATTAAGGTACGGTAAAATGTAAAAAAATTAAGTGTTTATTTTTATTCGTATATTATACGATCGATCAATTTATAGGTTGTTCAAACATATTTACAACGTGCTAGCGATGAAGAAGTTAATAAATTTATAAAGCAAAAATATTTTATGCATTTAGCAAACCAAATAGCATTATATCCCGGAAGTGAATCATTGGTAGTTGCTTTAGAAAATTTAGCTTTACGAGGTCCAACTCTGGCCGCGATGCCTCCATTATTGGCCATAGTAGCGAAAGCGGCAGCTATTGAACCAAATGTAGCTAGGCCAATAGTTTCGTTCATCACTGATTTAATTGGAAAGGTACAATATCATAATTTAATTTCTTTTAATTTTTTTAACAAAATTAATTAGCAAGATTTAATTTCAGAATCCCACTGCACTAAAGATGCTTTTAGAACAAGGTTTGATTGAATCATTAGTTCAAGCATTAGTGGGAAGTGCTCACAAAGGTGGTTCTACATCCCTTTATCGTGATATTCATGTGCTTCTTGTCGCCATTGCCACAAAACTTTTGGAATCTCCAGGAAATCATCAAATGCAAGTTGTTTTAGACTTGCATTTAATATTAAACCACATGGAATTAAAAGAAAAATCTCACTGTATTAAAAATAGAACTTGTGTGTCAGTTGTAAGAGATGCACAGGTAGCACTATTTGATGGAGAACTCGATGTGCTTACAGCGAAAGTCTCGAATCAATCGGGTTTTAGATTACGTAGTACAGCGTCGTATTTAGCCTCAGCTTCCCATATAATTTCTGGTAATATTTGTACCAAATATAATGTAAACGTAAAAAATCTATCAATTTCTTTACTGTTATATCTTTTTCAGTTTTTACAACGTCCACTGATCAAAGTGATCATGGTTCACGATCATCTAGTTACACGAGTTTACATGCGCCTTCCATTGCAACCCTACGCGAACCAGGCAAAGAAGAATTACTTGACCGATTTCGCATTATTCTCATGCGTGCTGTCGAATTCATAACAGCAGCTGATGAATCACCTTCTGGAAACGAGTTACAATTAACTAAAAGATTACTTTCAATTCTTTTACATGGCCTTTGTAATCCGCTACAAAAGAGGAATCATTGGAACAGTGGATGGTCAACCAGGCCCGCTTTAAGAAAATATACAGCTAAGATAATGACATGGTTACTTGGACCACACCAGAGTAATAACACGAGAATTTTCGCGGTCAGATCACTAATGGAAGAACCAAAAGCTCGTGAAATTTTATCTTTTCTTCTGCAAGATCATCCACAAGTAAGCTCATAGATTAATATGCATTACTCTTTTATATAACACTTTATTTTTTTTTATGTAACTTTCAATGCATTTATATTAGGTAGAACAAAAATTTACTGTGTTCTTTTGGGATCTTTTACAAAGACGAGATGAGATGCCTAGTGCCGATGCAAGAATATGTGTGGAATTGAAAGAAGCTCTGAACATATGGGATTTAGCAAAAGGTATAGAGCAAGCTAGTCCTGGAATATGGAACGAAGAACTGGCATTGTTGAGGCGAGAATTAATGAGAGATCGAGATATATGGATTGATAGTAATCTTCCCGCAATTCAGAGGTAAATAAAACTATATAGGACTTTATATTTTTCATTTATTTATTTTACAAAATATTTTTTTGTTAGAGTTGCCAATAGATTTGATGTGCTTGCTAAACAATTAACAGAAAGCGCGATGGCTATAACTCGTATGGTTGTAGAAGAACAAAATCGAGAACGCAAAGTATTAATGGAAAGACTGAAACATTCAAGAGCAATGGAAGCTCAAGCAATTGCTAAGTGGAGAGATTTAGCAAGACGTCTAACGCATGAAAGAGCTCCTTGGTACTTTTCAAATTGTTATCCAAGAAGTTGGGAACTAGATCCAACAGAAGGTCCTGCCAGAGTCAGAATACGATTACAACGATGTCATTTAAACATCGACAAAAGATTTTTCTTGACTGAATACCAAGATAAACTAGATGCAGCAAAAATTGAATCACCTTTATCTTATTTATTTATGACTAATCGACAAGATGCTAATGCTACCGCATTAATCGAACGATTACATACTAGCGAAAGAATACGTAAAATGTCTCAAGCTAAAGTTGTTACGCCGAGAGCCGAATTAGCTGGCGAAGTTCTTATCGGTGAAACATGTCTTTACTTTGTTCCTGACAATCCTGATGTTCTGCTGCACACAGATGTATGATACTTTTTATTTTTCTTGCCATATTATATAATAGCATTATTGTATAGTTTAATTAAGCGTATAACAATTGCAGATAGCTTTAGGTGGTTTGGATCTAGCTATGGTAGGTGGTACGGCTTGGCGGCTCGATGACATTCGAGAATTGCATAGAAGAAGATATCAGCTGCAGGAAAGAGCTATCGAAATATTCCTCATTACGGGAAGAACTTATTTATTAGCGTTTAATTCTTCAAAGGTATTTATTGCGTCAAAAATACGTATTCGATAATTATTAATAATAACACTTAATATTTACAGGAAAGAGATGAATTTGTAACAGAATTGTCTGCTTGCAATTTACCAAGACGAATACCCGGTGATGATTTAAGCGAAGCTATCTCATTGTGGCGAAGTGGGGCATTAACAAATTGGGAATATATTACTTGTCTAAATAAATTGGCTGGTCGTTCGTATAATGATTTAATGCAGTATCCTGTATTTCCATTTGTGTTAGCGGATTATATAAATGAAAAAATTGATTTAAATAATCCAAAGATCTATCGGTAAGTATTATAACGAATACATAAAAATACAATCAGAAAAATAGTAACGCGAAAAAAATTTGTTTAGAAATTTCAAGCGACCTATGGCTGTGCAGGATAAAAAAAATGAACAGCACTATATAAACAACTATAACGTAAGTAATTTATTTATTAGTGAAGTGTTATTTTTATTAGATATGTTCTTTATATTTATATTTGTAACTTTGTATAGTATCTTAAGCAAGCCTTGTCGGAAGGTCTAAACTTAATCGCGTTAAATCAAGAACCATTTCATTACGGCTCGCACTATAGTAATTCTGGAACAGTGCTCCACTTTTTGGTACGATTACCACCATTCACTAGTATGTTTCTATGTTATCAAGGTAAATTACACATCTTACTTTTCAGATTAATATACATATTAATATTGAGACTTAGTTTTAATTCAGTCCACTTTTATTTTTGAAGACGATAATTTTGATATTCCTGATCGAACATTTCATGCATTGGCTACTACATGGAGATTAACTAGTTGCGATTCAACAACAGATGTGAAAGAATTAATTCCTGAATTTTTCTATTTGCCTGAATTTTTATTAAATTCCGAAGGTAATATGGTTCATTATATTCCAAATCTCGATATAATATTTAAATTAATTTACAATAAAAAATATTTCATTTAATTAAAGGTTTCAATTTTGGAGTTCGACAAAACGGTAATCGAGTAGGAGATGTTGAGTTACCGAAATGGTGCGGAGGTGATGCACGACTTTTTATTCTCGCTCATAGAGCAGCATTAGAGGCTGATCTTGTTAGAGAAGTTCTGCCTTATTGGATTGATCTGGTATTTGGCTTTAGACAAACTGGCAGACCCGCAGTGGAAGCTATAAACGTGTTTCATCCAGCAGTATGTTGAAAGTAACATTCGTATAATCCTATTGCAGCATGCAATTTAAATTTGTGAATTTATGTTTTTAGACCTATTATGGATTCAATGTTGAACAAATAGCTGATCCTTTAGAACGTCAAGCTTGGGAAACGATGGTGCGAACGTATGGCCAAACGCCGGCGCAATTATTTAGAGCTGCACATCCCCTACCGATTCAAAATATTGGAAATACAATAGTACATAATTTAGTACCGCAAGTCATCGAAGGTGTAAATGGTATAAAATGGGGAAATTACGTTGGTGCTCCTGGGAATGAACCTGTTTTGTGTTGGAAACATAAACACAGAGCACCATTAGCATCGTTAGTACCTTTAATGTCTGGTGATGTTTTTGGATTACCTAGTTACACTACTTTATTACTTGGTTATACAAAAGAAAAAGGTACATATTTTGAATTTCAAACAAGCATTTGGATGATTACATTTTTAAGATAGATTATATAATATTTTAAGGTGCGATTATGTTAAGTGGGACGTCCGTATTGGGAGCTGCTTTAGTGTCATGGAGTGGTACGGATGGAATTGCAAGACTGAAATGTAAAAAAGAGCAACCTCCAAGGCCATTAATTAGATCTTCTGGTCTCGATCCAGTATGTAAATCAATAGCAAATAAATTAGTATTTTCAAATTGAACTTGGAATTACATAATATTTCTATTTTAGATTACAACTTTAGGGTCAGCACCGGATTGTGGACAATTATGGATAGGCCATTTATCTGGTAGAATAACTGTGCATACATATACAGTTATAACGAGCAAAATTGACTTCAGTTCAATACCTGCGTCTGTGTTATTAGCTCATAGAAGTCGAATAACCATAATATCTCTTTCACGAGCATTTAGTATCGCTGTTACGGGCGATGAAAATGGTGTTATCGTTATTTGGGATTTAAATAGGTAAGTATGATCTGAAATAAATTAATAAATAAGAATGTATATATTACATCCGAAATTATTAATTATTTTTTTGTAGTTTAACATACATAAGATCAATACTCTGTGATCAAAACTATCCTATTCGCTTATTATCGATTAGCGAAACTCTCGGAGATATAGCAGTTACCTATAAAATTTCTAATGTAAGCGAAAATACGTCTTCCAGTCAATCTGAATTGAAAGTATTTACTATAAATGCAAGAGCAGTTGGATCTGTTTTATCGAGAAAAAAAATAACAGCTCTTTGCTATAGCAATGCACCAGAAGGGGTCTCTGTGAACGTTATTGCAACAGGATTAGATAATGGAGTAATAAGACTGTGGAGCAGTTGGGATTTAAGATTAGTTAGAGAGATTATAAATGATGTAAAGGGGTGTGGAGCAGTAATAGCGATAGCATGGGCTTTAGATCAACATCACTTATATGCTGTAACTGAAGACTTCACTATTCTCATATGGGAAGGATCAAAACGTTTGAGTAATGGTACACCAAAATTCGTAAATTTAACATCATTATAATGTAAATAAACAAAATCAAAATGTTTTTAAATGCATGAGCAACGCGTTTATATTGTTAAATATTGTTAAACATGTTTCATTTTAATAACTATCTTATAAAATAAAAGAAAATACGTTTTTTATATCATTAAAACATTAATACCGCGTTTGTAAGTTTTATATACTTAGAATTAAGTCAAATCTATTGTTCTTAAAGTTACTGAAATATCATCATATAAATATTATTACATTTGTAATTATTAGATAAAAGAAAAACCAAACAATCATTGTTGACGAAGTAGTTAACAATTAAACAAAACACAAACAATGTTAAAGTATTATTTTCTTGAAATTTTTATTACGACAATTTTTGTTATACTTCTAATAACATATCATCCATATTTTCATTCTTTGTGGTATTAAAACACATATATAATACATCTATATAAGTATAGGTTTCATTATTAATATATTTATAATTGTATTAATAGTATATCGATGATGCGCTCGTGATTTTTAGATTCATAAATTTTTTTATGACAACATACCATGTATATATAAGCATATTCAATAAACATATTAAGCAAATCATATTTATAGACTCAAATAACATTTAAACAATCTTCAATGATTTCAAATAGTGGATAGTATTTCCCTGTTCTCTTTGCTATATCTTGTGGAGTATCACCACTTGAATTTATCACTCTTGGATCTGTATCTGGATGTAATAAAAGAAGTTGCAATGCAGGAGAGTTATAAGAGCTTGCACATGCTAAATGCAAAGGTGTCTGAGATCCTTTACTTTTGGCATTAATATCTGCTCCATGCGCAATTAGTGCTGCTATACATTCAACATTATTCCAGTGACATGCAGAATGTAATGGTTGCCATTCATCCACAGTTCTAGCATCTATCTTAGCCCCTATTTGAAGTAGATACTATAAACAAAATGTAATAACAATAATATTAATGAACATTATTAATTTGCCAAAGAATAGATGAAATAAAAAATATAATATTTTTACCTCAACAATATTTACATGATTACCATAACATGCTCTATGTAATGGAGTGTAACCATCTTTGTCTGTACATTCTAGCAAATCAGGATTTTTTAATAATAAACATTTTACTTTATCGAGTTCACCATTCTCCGCCGCAGTAAGAATTTCTTTTGCATCAGGTTCTGTAGAAAAATACAGTTGTTACAAAATTGGTGATCAAAAACTGAAATATACGATTTAGTCATTATCTAACCTTTCGCATTACGTTCAGCCTCTATTCCATCATCGTCATCTTCCCAAGCACTAACTTGCATACGTTCACCCCGTGGCTGACTTAACATTTTATCACGGATCGTCTCTAGATCCATCAATTCATCGTCTTCTTCAGATGATGACATATTTACTTTCTTTAAAATCAGGTAAACAGTAAACCGATAATCTTCACGTTCTCGTTGTGTGTTATGCTTTTACATGCGATATATTGCACAGATCCATCTACTGGAGTATAAAGGCACTACTTATGGCATGAATCAAATTCAATCAATTTTTCAAGATGTGAAAATCATCTTTCATTTTCGATTGTTTTCAAAATGTATTAAAATTAATTAATGATTGCCATATAACACAAAAAACAAGATGGAATGTTTGAAACTTTTGGAAACACTAGATATCTTTGGTTATGCTGGTATCTGCGTAGGGACAGAAAATTCACAGCTATTACAAAATTCTCTCATAATATTACAACAAGAAAATCATTTTCAAAAGTGTTACTATTGGGGGAAAATCTATGGAGTACAAAATGATTACCATATCGCATTTGGTTTTGAAAAAGATTGCATGAACGATCAGGTATATTACTACAGGTAAGCTTTTCAAAATGATTGAAACTTTATAAAACATATTAAGAAGTTAAAATATTTTGAATTAGTACTGATGGATTAAATTGGCTATTGCTGCCGAAAGCAAATAAATGTGCTCGATTCTTAACACCTCTTGCAATTAATAAGTTTGAGGGTGACCCTTCTATAGTTACTAACGTTTATAATGTCAATCCTCCGTTCCCGCCAAATGAAGATCCTAAAAAATATTACGATGTAAGTGGAAAAAAGTTGCACAGTTTTATTACTTAGTAAGAGAAAAATGATTAATAGTTAATAATTCTTGATACATACTAGGGTCCTATACCGAGAGAATTAAAAGAGGAAGATAGACTCGCAGCTACGATAGAAATAATTAAAGAAGACGCCGTAATAATTCCACGTGGTGCATGGTTTAAATGTCCCAACGGTGATGTAATTGAAAATTTAAGTTTTGAAGGACTCAATGTTACAGATGCATCGTATCTAAAATCTTATTTGCACGCACGTTCACCGCAACAAAAGTGGAATACCAACTTACTTACTAGACCTGATTATAATTACGCAATAGATTTTTTAGATACAATCGATTTAGATGTACCACCAGGTATTAAATAATAAATTTTAAGCAAAAATCTCAAAAAATTAGTTCTATCATTATATGATATGATATCTCTTTTTAGGATGCTGGGATTTACAGTTTTTACTAGACAAACAATTAATTATTTTACATAGTCTCTTTTGGCCAGGTATGACATTTTATCACAAGTTGAATAGTCCGCATTATGGATTTCTTTACTTTGGACATGGAAAAAAGAATATGGATGTGGTGTTTATGGTGTAATCATAGATATAATAATAAAAAATGAAAAAGTTTAAATCGTTTTTTTTTTGTTAAATACATATATTAAATGTTATTATTTCTAATTGGATTCATTCGAGTTTTTTTTGTTTTTTATGACGATCAAACATTTATAATTACTGCATAAGACATCGGTCATTTTACCTTTTATTATTTATGCGAAATTTGTGGTATGTGGTAATTTGTCAAATTTACAAGTAACAACAGTTCTAAAAATAACTTCGATCGAGGAAATGATTGTTAAGAATTTCGAATATCTCGAATCGTAACGCGCAAATTGTTAATGTAAGGTTATGAATGCTTTCAAATTTGAAATATATCGAAGTAAAATTGTACGCAATTTATGATTAAATAGTGATTATAATTTTTTTAAATAAATCATCGCCTCTACTTTGTGTTAATTATTATTTTGTTTCATGTGGATAAGAATTAAAATATAAATTTAACCGCCGCCGTTGTGAATGGGCTTTATGGGCAAATAGTTCGACTCTCGAGGCGTAAGATGGCGTTAGTGTCTTGCTCGAGGTTGGTGAATTTGAACGCACAAGCGCAGTGACCGGCATACTCGAGTGAAGTGTTGTTGCAAGTGCTTGGGATCCGACAGATTTCTCCAGGATATTTCGCTGTTAACGGTAAGCGAAAACTTTTTTACGATTCTTAACGTTCTTTACTTCCCGATAAATCAGTTTTTATCCGTTGGTTTCCCTTACTTCGACCTTGAATCAAAAGTTTGGGTAACAGCGTGTCGCCGGGTGACGCCGGTTCTATGAAAACGTATTTCATAGCACGTGGATCGTAGTAATCTTGGAACGAACATATCGAGATTTGTCCCGTTGATTTTTCCAGCTTTATATTTCTCTGGATTTTTCGGTTTTCGTTTCGGCGCGCTTTCTCATCGTAATGCGTTGTGGTATAAAATTTTTTCTCGTTGACAGGCAGCGTCAAGTTTCTGCGTGCCTCTGCTCGAATTATGCGTCGTTTGACATTACCAAAATTTTCGTGTTTACTTCGTAATCAGAGCCCTATAGGATGGATATAAACCAATATCCGATCAATATTAACTTTCCAAGATGGATGTTAACCGAAACAGATTTTCGCGTTACAATTTATGCATCGCCACAACTTCCGAGCCGTTGTTCATTCCGTGACGACATTACGATATCGTACGCATTTCTCTCGTAAATTTCTACGAGAAATTTACTTTCGTAAGTTCCTGTAGCGTCGGGGCGAGAGATTCTCAAGAACACGACACAACATCGTAGTCACGAACTCCCGTGTTATTTATTGTGGTTGGTGCTTGTATCTTCATTTCGCATTCTTAATACAATATGCGACACGAAGTTGCTCGATTCAAGGTTAGCTAGGTCAAAGAGAGCTACGGATCTGTCGTCGTTGGGCAAAAAGTTAGCATTCTTCCACGAATCGTCCGTAACACCATTCAAACGGACACGGCTTTCCTTGTTTCGATTTTTTTTCTTCCTCCATTTCGTAGAATTACATTTCTCGTTCGCGAGTACGCGATTGTTTCCGATATTCGAAACTTATAACGGCCTACCCCCACCCCGCCCGGCCTTTTTATCATCCCTTCCCCGTGTTTGTAGGAAACGGTGCGTTCGTTCCCTTTCTCGCCGCTATATCGAATTAATCGTAGAGCAGGAGATTCGCGGCAGATATCGGTGCGGTGAATTAGAAGCTGGAGGTAGCGTTTATGCGGATGCAATAGACCGTAAAGTTGCCGGTGCAACGGCGAGTACTCGCGATGCTCGCTAGACGGAAAATCTCTATTATTAATCCTTCGATTCCGGCGATCACGCATCACGTCGGTTCGCGGCGGGATCATCTCCGAGGGGATATTCTTGTTGGACGATTTTCGATTCGGTCTCTGCGGTTTTGAAAGCGTCCGCCTCTGTTCGCCGGCATGTGCGTGCGCGTGTGTGCCCTCCCCCCGATACGGAGATTTATTTTCGTGCGACGAAGAAATCAATGACGGAGCCGATAACCTCTCTCCGCGCGTCGCGCTCCTACGAACCCCTCCGGCTCTCCTTTATCTGATTCATATGCACGGCCGTACATGTGCAATCGTGTAGTCAATTCCGAGCACGGACCGCGAGTTCCGGTTCCTATTCGAGTGGTATCCTCTGTACCCCCGACGTATACATTCTTTTTCCTCGTCGACGACTTTCGTGTCGCCGGACTGGGGGGTACCGCTTCTCTTCGTCCACAGGATCGCCGAGGAACTCGACGCGTAGACGATGGAGATACTAGACTACCATTGCGCTCTCTCGCGTTAAACGATATATATTTTAATAACAACAGTGGCGTAGCAATTCGATCATTGGACGTATACGTATACACGTATGTCTAACCTAGCATTTCCTCGACTCGTAGTAATCGAGATAGCGAATAATAGCGCGAAATGAATCGGAGAAAACAAAGAAGAAGAGTAGTACAGAGGATAAAATAAAATTTGGTATTCCAGAGCGATGGAGCAAGGATCGTTGGGATTTTCTCGTTATTTTACAACGAACGAGAGTTCGTCCGGGAATTATGGTTTTACGCGGAACGGAACGTCGGTTCTCGTCGAATTCCTGCGATTCTCGCTCGCGGCTAACTTCGGCCCGGTCTCTCTCGGATTCGACGTATCGAACGCCGGTTATCGACCCCTCTCGATACGCTTTGTCGCTCCTTCTTAATAGTTCACCGCGATTCAGGCGAAATCTCGCTTAACGGGATTTAGCGTAAACCGTAAAAAAGCTCGTGGAAACGTCACGGCATTGACTTTCTTTGTTCCGCTAGCGTAAACTCCGGTTTCCCGGTTTACGTTTCGAAACGTCCACAGCTGACGGGGCTACGCCGGGACCGCTTCGTTGTACGGCGAAACAAGAAGGAAAAAGCAAACGGCTGAAACGTCGAGACCTCGAGCATGCGCAATTTGTTGCACGGCACGGTAAATTTGTTAAAAGTTAGCGTGGTTTGGTAGAGCCGTGTAATTAAGTATCAGATACGTGTCAAACACAGCTCTCGAATGACTCATTAACGTTCAAGTTAAGCGAGTCGCCTTCTTTTATACTGGCTATACGGCCGTATTATTGATCACGGAACGATCGTATCTCGAGCAGTAATTCTCAACCATTGTTACGCGATAAACACTATTCAATTATGGTTTCTTTTGTTTCACCTTATCGTCATAGGTAGTTACCGCAATCTCTACAACCCGCTGCTTGTTTATATTTTTTCCTTTTCCTTCTTGCCTTCTTCTCCGTCTTATTAAATAACCGGTCGTTCGTCGTATCTCGTTACCGTCTCTCGAATAAAACCGTCCCGACGAATTGGCGAAACAGCGACGGTCCGATTTCGGCGCGATTACGCGACTACGGGTATTCCAATTTCCCGCAAAACGGTGCACGAGTCAGTGGTTCTCACGAGGCTCGATCGCGGCAATTAGGTCGAATGGAAAGCGTGATGAAGGGCTATAAACGCGTGAGAACCGCCCGTTTAAGGCGCGAGAACTGGTTCTGGGTTGATCGCGGGCATCTTCTTCCCAAGGCCCTCTTCTCGATGTTAAACACGGCAGAGATGTTACGAGCTCCTTGGACTGCCTGAAATTAAACGTCGGGGACAAGGAGCCCCGAGGACCGCCTTTTCTCGAACCTCCCTTCGTCCATTTCAAACGTCCACCACCACCGCCACTACCACCTCTTCTTCCTTCTCCTCCTACTACTTCTCCGCTTCTCTCCCTCTCTCTCTTCCTCTCCATTCCTCTCCAGTCCCTCCACCGTCTTCGTTCAGCTTCTTTTTCTCCATTTGCTTTCTTTCTTCTTCGTCTTCTTCCTCTTCTCCTTCTCCGACTACCTACCTGGCGAACGTTACGAAACGTTTCGATCGTTTTAGATTCGAGTTGGAATTTCAGCGTCGAAAAGAAGAAAAAAGGAAAAAGAGAAGGAAGAAAAAAAAGACGTTCGACCATGCGCGATCAGCGCCGGACCCGCGAAACAATCGCCTGACTATCTTCCGACTCCATGGGACTTTACTTCTCGCTCCATCTGTCGTAGCTCTATGATCCTCGCTCTTTCCCCCACCACTCGAGATTGTTCGACGATATTGCAGGAAATTTCTTCGTCGAACGAACGACTCCGCGCGGAATTTTAGCGCGTATCGACGATTCGCCGAACGGTCGCGAGGCGTTGACGATTTTCTAAAGGCAGAACGGTAAAGGTAGAGGCCGGTGTATCGGTCGGGTATCACGTGCACCCGGAGTGATTCTCTTCCAAGCCGTGGCTCCGTTGTCAAGTGGACAATATCTTCTCATGTTACAACAATGTTACCGTTGCCGAACAAAACGACGCGCTCCGATGTTTCTTCTTGCGTGCCTCCATCGTGTTCGCCGACATTCTGCCCTCCTATAACGGCCGAGATATCGCGTTATAATTTATTGCGTCACTCGCATCAACGAAAATCTCGCGTCGCTGCTTCGTTCCGTGCCTCTTTATCTCATGTTCGCGGAATTCGATTGAACGTTTGCGAAACGTCGTAAAATTACTTCCCAATGATGCCACGTTCTTTTATCTTTTCCAAAGGACAAAGACGCGAGTTCCAAAATAATTCTGTTCTCGGAATCTTTTTCCAAACTTTGGCCGGCCATGAATGGGGTATAGGTTAGGTTGCGAAAACCGGTAAAAGTTTACACCTCCCCCCCAAGTCGATAACAGTCGTTTCTGCAGAATCGATCGATTCCTTCAAACGCCATTACGTTTTGTTTAGTTGACGTCGCGATAAATGCTCGTTTGTGGGTCCTTTAATCGTCTTTGTCGTTCAGGCAGCCCAGCATCGAGTAGATCCGATCACGGCGGAGTCTTAATGGAAAAGGAGGGTTGACGAGGAGTTCATTGATTTACCGTTAAGAAGCTGGTACCTCGATGTTTTCAACGACACGGTTGTCACCGTTCGCTGCTTCTCTCTTCACCTTTTTCACCGGCTACCCG